CTATTAGGGCAGTTAATCGTCAAGATGATATCTTAGTGGCGGCGATGCAAGGTATTCGTTCACTACAGGACTTAAATCCGTCTCAAATGGCAGAGCTTCAGAAGGTCAAAAATCTCTTCTATGAGTTATCGTGGGAAAAAGGTACGAAATTGGGAAGAACCACACGAACCGTTCATTTTATAGATACTGGTAATGCGCGACCAATTAAGCAACGTCATCATCAGATCTCACCTTACATGCTGGTTCACCTCAATCGGGAACTAGACAAGATGTTGGAGTTGGGAGTTGTGCGGCCTTCATCGAGTCCTTGGTCCTCTCCTGTTTTATTGGTAAATAAAACAAACGGTGAGAAGCGCTTTTGTTTCGACGGTCGAAAACTTAACTCTGTGACCAAACCAGATGCTTACCCTTTACCTAAAGTCGATTACATCTTAAACATGTTAACTGGAGCACGGTATCTATCAAAAATTGATCTTAAGTCCGCTTTTTGGCAAATTCCCTTAGAGGATACGTCCTGCGAAAAAACTGCCTTTGTTGTTCCCTCTCGAGGGCTTTATGAATTCGTGGTGCTACCGTTTGGTCTGTCAAATGCTCCTCAGACTTTGCAACGTCTAATGGACTAAGTGTTAGGTCCTTCGTTGGAACCATATGTGTTTGTTTTTTTGGATGACATTGTTATCTCGACACCAACGTTTGAACAACATCTTCAAGTGCTTAGGGAGGTTTACCAACGCTTGAAAGAAGCCAACTTAACCATCAATGCAGAGAAGTGTGAGTACTGCCTACCATCTTTAAAGTACCTTGGTTTTGTTGTGGATAAATCAGGTTTGCATACAGATCCAGAAAAAGTCGCCGCCATGGCGGAATTTCCTAAACCCCAAACAGTCACAGAAATGAAACGATTTCTTGGGCTCTGCGGCTGGTACAGGCGCTTTATTCCGAAATTTTCAGATTTCACCTCTCCTTTAACAGCTCTTCTCCTGGGCAAGCGAAAAAGAAATAGGTTGGTGTGGACGCAGGAAGCGGATAATTGTTTCCACCAACTCAAAAATGCCTTGATAAACGCTCCTTTGTTGGTAAGCCCAGATTTTTCTAAACCCTTTACCATCCAGAGTGATGCTTCGGATGTGGGAGTGGCAGCGGTTCTAACACAACCAGATAGCAAAGGAGGTGAGGTAGTGATAGCTTACGCTAGTCGCACTCTTTCGCCGGCTGAGAAAAAATATTCGGTAACCGAAAGAGAATGCCTGGCAGTTCTATTCGGGATAGATAAATTCAGGCCGTATATTGAGGGGGCAAAATTCACCGTAGTAACTGATCATCACAGTCTCCTGTGGCTTAACAACTTAAAGGATCCCAGTGGTAGATTGGCAAGGTGGGCAGTGAAGCTGCAACAGTTTGAGTTTGTTTTAGAACACCGAAAGGGTTTTATGAACGTGGTGCCGGATGCCTTAAGTCGAGCGCCACTGCCAGAAGTTGCTGTAATTCAGGTGAGGCCGGGAAACACAGATAAGTGGTACCATAGCATGCTTAAAAGTCTTGAGGAACGTCCAAACGATTATCCGGATTATTTAGTTAAGGATGGTGTCCTATATAAACATGCGAGGCCTCGGTATCGAGTCCCAAATGTCCTTCCAAGTTGGCGAATAGTAGTACCCAAATCACAACGGCTGGAAGTGCTTCGTGAAAGCCACGACTCTCCTCTAGCAGCTCACCTTGGATCATATAAAACTCTGGAACGGATACAAGAACTCTATTTTTGGCCTGGCATGCAAACTGATGTTAAACGATATGTCTCTCGATGTTCAACTTGTTCAGCTCAAAAGGCAACTAATGTAGCTGCTCCCGGATTGATGGGTTCTTCTAAGAAGGCTACTTTCCCATGGCAATTGATTTCAATTGATATTTTAGGTCCTCTTCCTCGTAGTATGCAGGGGCATTGTTATATTTTAATGGTCTGTGATTGGTTCAGCAAGTTCATTTTATTACATCCTCTTCGTAAGGCAAATTCCAAGTCAATTATCAAATTTGTAGAAGAAAACGTCTTCTTGATGTTTGGTGTCCCTCAAATCATCACCTGCGACAATGGTACTCAATTTGTTTCGTGTGATTTTCAGAAGCTAGCGGATTTGTACAAATGTAAGATTTGGTATAACGCAAAATACCATCCCCAAACAAACAGCGTAGAACGAGTGAACAGAGTAGCCGGGGCTGCTATTCGTTCCTACATTAAGGATAATAATCATCGGTATTGGGACGTCCATTTACCAAAAATTGGGTTTGCGCTTCGAACGGCCATTCATGAAGCCACCGGATTATCTCCTACGTATATAAATTTTGGTCGGTACGTACCAATTTCAGGAGATTTTTATGACAAGAACAGCGACCCATCGAAAGTTGATTTAACGAACCCTGACCGGAGCCAATATTTTGAAAATTTGGAGGGCTTGTCTGAAATCTACAAGACAGTGCGTCAAAAACTAACGGCCGCGTATAAAAGAAATTCTCACACGTATAATTTACGACGCCGTCCTGCTGATTCCTATCAAGTAGGTGACCGGGTGTGGAAACGCAATTATGTACTTTCAGACGCATCAAAGCACTTTTCCAGTAAACTGGCTCCAAAATATGTTCCATGTATCGTCACCAAGGTTATCTCTCGTCTCGTATATAGATTAGCGGAGGCTGAGAGTCATCAAAACCTAGGAAACTGGCACGTTAAAGATCTTAAGCCGTTTCGGGGTGATGATCGTGGAGACAGTAGTACCGACGAATGATTTTTTTAAGTCTATGTGCCTGAGAGAGAGAATATGATGTATGAGTGATCTCGTGTATGTGGTATGAATGTGGTGAGTGGATGAGTAGGTTTTTTTCCGACTAAGGACAAGTTATTTTTTTTCCCAATTACGACGTGTGCACACAATAAAACCCTGATTTTGACAATTTCTTCTCGATTCTGACGTTTACTTCCAGATTTTGACATTTTATTCTCGATTTTGACATTTAACTTTAACCCTTCGTCGATTAGCAGTCAGAGGTTTCATGTTCTCCCGATGGAGGATGTTTTTGTTCGTGACTCTCTGAATCTGCAAATTCTTGGATTCGAATTCCTACTCAAAGAGACTTTTCCTGTTTCACGAAAATGGCTCTCAAAATTCTTTTGGCGTTTACTCCTAAGAAAATTCTGGAGTATGACTGGAATCTTTTTTTATTTACAATTTCTTTCCTTTTTCTTAGGTGGGATACATCTTATGGAAAAAATTTTAATTATGTTTAATTTAAATTTTTTTGTTATCATAGGGGGGTGTGTAACGGATTTTTATTTAATTTTGAATTGAATTGCATTGGAAGTGGTGGCGCATCTATCACGCGTAGTGTTGGTGTGAGCTACGGGAAAAAACAGGGAGAAAAAGAGAGATAAGAAGGGGAGAGATAGCGGGGCAGGAGCGAGTGAGGAGCTCGGGAGGAAGAGAATCAAGTTCAGGGGCTTTTCAAGGAAGAGACGGGACCTGAGAACCGAAGGAAGAGTCAGGAGCCTCCGCCGCCTACGCTGAGAGAGAAGAGGTGCCCTCCCACATATTTTAACAGTGATTGGCTTATCGTATGTAATACCTTTAATAATATAATTTGTCGTAAACGTAGTTTTATTGGGCTCGGGTTGAAACCCACTTCGTGAGGTAACAATACAGTAGCATTTATTTGAAATCCTGTAAGTAGGTTACAAACCAGCGGACCTACCGGACCCGGGTTGCTCAGGTACACAGATAAAATGCATTGCCCCGATAAGCGTAAAACGCAATGAATAGTGAATTGTGGTTTATGGTTTTTAAAATACCATCTTACCATGGCTTAGATTTATTACCCCTCAGGATTATATTTAAACATGTATAAGTACTGAAAGCTACAATGTAGGAAATGATGGTATTTAAAATATGAAAATTTCCGTGACAGAACACTATTAGTGGACCTCTTACCTCTATTTTTGTTTATGTGACCAAAATCACCAACATGAAGTACCAAAAATTACTACTAGTATAACTCAACTAATAACTACTGAAAAAAAAAGTGAAAAAAAAAATGTATCTGTATCTGCGCCATTAATGTTGTATCTAGATACAGATACTAGATACCCAAAAATATTATCTAGATAATTTATTTAGATACAAGTATCTAGATCCTGCCCAACACTGTGCACACGACGTCTGCCGCACTACACTGATGTCCTTCTCGTTTTGAGACAGATGGTGCCGTAAAGAATAAACAAATAAAGAATCAATAAACATAGTTATTAGTGTTTATTACGAATTAATAAGATATTTGTATTACAACCTAATATTGTACACAGACAAATTGTCTCTCTTTTTTGGTTCAATTATTATCATTGAAGCAAAACCTCGAAATGTTAACATTGTTGATATACTTATTTAATTATACCAATAAACCTACTACATGCATTGTAAATTGTCTGGTTGTCTCACCAGCCCTTTGTTGATCTTAAATACAACCATCGCGGTATTGCTTGTGCTGTGCTTCATAGGTGACATAAGTAATAATAGTAATAAAAGTAACCGCACGATATTTTTTTTATAAACCAATAAAATATTATGTGAAATAAATAACCCAAAGTTTTGGTACATTTTAATGTATATACTGCAAATATAACCCAATGTAAACAATGTATTCTTCAAAACTAGCGGTTCTCGGCGAGAAAAATTATTTTTAAACAATATAATGTCTAAAACGACAGATCAGGAATTGATCAATGATCACTGTGCTTTCGGATTGATTGTAAACCAGTAATCTGTGTCTGTTAATGATACTATTTTTGGAAAGTGCGTTACTATTTTTTGTAATGTTACAGTCATTCACTAATTTCTTTGAATACGTGGTAACGTTGCAAATATGCGTCAATCGATGGTAACTTTTGACTCTCCCAACCAAGGTGGTTTACGGGTTGCTGAATCAACATCCGGCATCATGCGCTCTTCTTTGTTTCCATCAAAGTCAGCCAGTACGAAGCATACCCACAACACCGTATCCACCACAGGTAGAAAAATCTAGGTACATAAAACAAACGAATGACCCACTCTGCGGCCTATGTTTGTCCAGCATTCAGCACTGCAACGTTCCAGACGAAGTTACGTTACGCAATGCAACTGATAGCAATCTTTTTATTCCTTTGACGCGGTTTCAATTACAAATTACGTCTACGTCATTCTGTTTGGAATTAGAGTGTGGCACGTTGAGTGAGAGAAGGCATCCATGACGCGGATGTGTTTTTAACCACCTGTTGAAGTCAAAGGACAAAAGTGGCTGGAAGAAACAAAAATAACCGCGGCCTTCGGGTCTTATGGTTTCCGACAAAGTCGCACAAGAAGAAGAAAAATAAATATTACGTGTCACACGTGGACTCAGACTCACCTACACGGTAAGTGTCGATTAAGCGCTAATTTTCTAATCTTCGTGAGTGATGAATGATGACACAGTGGCGGTCGTTGCCCAAAACATGCCTAAGTAAATAATGTAAACACAATTGCTAGTGGTGTTTATTTACTGTAATTCATAGTGGCTTGATAAAAAGTTTAAATGGGTAATAGACGACTGCTAATTTAAATAACCTTCACTTTTGATGCCAAAGTAATCAATTAAAATACGCCATTGATAACTGACGTCCGAGAATTTATTAACAATTACGATCAAAGTTACGGTTACATAAATGGTATAAATTTTTCTTTGTAAAAAGCCGCAATTTGTACAGCTTCTTGTTTTATATTGTTGGTTAACTTTCTCCAGAAATGAATTATTACCAATCAGAACAACTAAGAGTTAACAGTTTTTCATTTTTATGAAATTATAGCGTTTTTATAAGTAATAAAACTGAAAACATAACCTCACTCCTAAGGCTAGGAATTGGACACAAATGGCAGTACTGTTAGAATTAGAATAGTCACTCTCACTCCGTACTGTCAGTCAGTCAAACTAATTTTTTATTTTCAAATCACAATAAAGTTATAAATTGTGATATTACATTAAAAATGAACTACCTGCGGACTAATATACTAAACTGTATACAATTTTAGGAGTATTTTAAAATAAAAAGTTGTGAATATTGCACAGGTCTGCGTTTATTACTTAATTTTAGAAAAATTGATAGCATACTCTTACGTATTTTTTGTTGCTGAATAAAAATGTGAATTCCATTTTTCTCTACCACGTACGAATTTTTGATAAAAAGGCCCCAATTTCAGTTGTGTGAAGACATTTATTACTGCTTTTAATTTCTTTATCGTAAATCCACTATATTTTTATTCATGATAACTTTTGCATCATCATAAATAAAAATTATGATTATTTAAACAACACTTTTACAAAATGCTCCTTTACAGCCTAATAAGTACCCATACATAGAACAAACAAATCGTAAAAAAAATGGGATTGAATTTTTTTAATATTTTCCCTTTCTCGGGATCAACGCAGACCTGTGTTATTAAAATCTTGTTTGTCATAACTTCAAAAATTTCATGTTTTATTATGTTCTATTATAAATATAATATACAATCAGGGCCAAATAATGTTGGACGTCAATGTCATTCCACCGTCACAAAGTGTGAAACACCTTTAAGAATTTTGACTTTTTTTTTTTTTTCTCATTTTTGACACATGCTGACACTGGATGCGGCGTGACAAGTTTTCTAAAATGTAAACGTCTAATTATTGACAATAAGGTATAGACTGCATCAAAGTTTTCAAAATGACAGAAAAATGATTTCCAAGATTTTCTGGCCGCGCTGTATGTAGAATATATTAGCTACCATAGTTTTATACAGGCACCGTGCAGGTAGAATACACGTTAATTTACTTTTTCATGTTGGTTGTTGCGTGTACGGTTAGACACACCATAAATTAAATTATTTTAAAAACTAATAAATTTCGTACAAACGTGGCAACAAGTCAATTAATGTGCTAATTTTTATTACGTTCATAATATTTATTTGTTTACAGAATAAGTAACCATAGAGTTATAATAGCTTACACCATTTTCAAAATGAAGTGGACACTTTAGAGTTTACTAAATACACATAATGTAAGTAAATAGGTGTCTTAAACGATGACAAAAAAATTTGACTGAAAATTATTTGGAGAGAACTTCCCTGGCCCCTGAAGTGTGATAACCTCTATAAAAAGCTATGAATGCTTTGATAAACCACAAGAAAAAACCATTCGGTTTTTCCATTCCAAAGTTAAATTATAAAATATTGTTATGTTATTATGATTTTTTTCCAAACATCTGGATTTTTAGGGTAAAAACTCAACACGGATTTATAAATCACATGTTCAGGGCTATGGTATATAAAATTGCAAAATGACGTCATCAACTGGGTAGGGAGGGGTCGTAAACAAACTCAACACGTATTCGTAAATCGCACATGCATACTATTATAGTATGTTAGTTGATAAATTTTAGGATACAGTCATTCGGGAAATTTGTACTTTGACATTATCATTTAGAAGGGGAAGGCATAAAGGCCGATTTACCATGCATCCGATAACTTTAAAACGTTTTCGGAGCATTCAGTTTTGCAATTTCAAAGTTAGAATGTAAACTTAAATGTTATCAAATTTTGCTTTTTTCGAAAAATCTGGATGTGAAAGACAAAAATTAAACACGGATTCATAAAACACAAGTGAAGAAGCGTGCTATTTTATAAAATGTAAATAATCTTTATTCGACCAAATTGTAAGATGGCGTCTTCAAATTGGAGGAAGGGGCATAAACAGATAAATTTTCGATATCAAACTACCATGCTTACGACAACCTTAATATGTTTACAAGGCTTCAGAACATTTGGTTTTTCAATTTCAAAGTTATATTGTAAAATGTTGTTACACAATTTATTTTTTTACAAAAAACTGAATGTGTGGGGTAAAATATAAACCATAAGTGCATCAGTAAATTTTACAAAATTTAAATAGCATTTACTAGTGAAAATTTTTGAGATGACGTCATCACATTGTTGGTGGGAATGATCAGATGCATTTTGATTATCATTTTACCGTCTGCACGATATTCTTAACATATGTACATATAAAATTTGACAACAGTTTCGGAGATTATCTGTCTAATAAAAATTCGGACAGACGGAAATGGGAGACCTAAGTTTTTATACTATGGGGTCATGAAACGTCTCGAAAACATGAAAATAGCCATTCGTCGAATTGACCCTATTGTATACAATACTTTCGGGAAGTGAAAATACAATTTTAGAAGAAAATTTAAAAAATTTATCTTGCAAAAGCTTTAAAAGTTTGGCAAACATGGTAAATTGCTAACTAAAATAATTTGATATCATCATCTTAAAATTTTGCTGATAAGGGTATCTAATAATGTGTAAAATATTATGCGTCTACACTTATAGTTAGCAGCCATATTTTTAACTCTGTGTGGGAAAAAAATAACTGTTCACAGTTTATCTTAAAAATTGAACCAAATGTACTGAAATTTAGCACCTGCTTTGGGGTTATCGTAGATCGCTAACCAAAATTTGTCCATCTATCCCTACCAAAATTTTAATGACATCACAATTTGTACGGAATTTAAAAAAAATGGCGAAAGTTATTTCCACAGGACTTCCCTCGCCACCGAAGTGCAGTATCACAAATCCCGCTTCTTTGAAAAATTGAAAAATTTCATTTTGCGAATTTGTATTCAATGAAACAAATACAAGAGTATGCCATTTTATAAAATTTATTATAAACATTTTTGAGATGTCATGACATTGATAGGGGAATTGGGCAAATTTTGGTTAGCGTTTTACCATCTAGACGATATTCTTAACTTCAAAACGTCAAGATTTCAAAGTATTCAGTTTTGCAATTCTTGATTTAATCAATAAAATAAATTGACTCAGCCATTAATTTTTTCAGACACCCCGTATAAGCAAATCTAAAAAATATAAATGCAGTGATAATCATCACAAATATAGACTCATCATACTTTGAATATTTAATAAGATTTTTTTCAGCAAAATTTTGAGGTGGTGTCATCAATTTTTTTAGGGGGGATGAGCAAATACATTTTGATCAAAAATTTACCATGCTTATGATAAGTTTAACACATCTTTAAGATTTCAAAGCATTCGGTTTTGTAGTTCCTGATTAAATCAATAAAATAAATTCACTCATTCATTAATTTTTTTGAGTCACCTGTATATGCAAATACAAACAATATGAATGCAGTGATAAATCATAAGTACCGATTCATCAATACTCATCATATTTTGTACATTTTAGATAAGATTTATTAGGCAAAATTTTGAGCTGATGTGATCAATTTTTTGAAGGGGATAAGTAAATATATTTTGATTAAAAGTTGATCATGCTTATTGTAACTGTAAATGTAAACCATCTGCAAGATTTCAGAGCATTCGATTTTGCAGATTCCAAATTATATAAGTAAATTGTAAAATTTTCAGAATCAATTGATTAATAATAATTATAATGTGATGGAATGTGTATCATTAAATTTTAAAAAGCTACATATAAAATAGTAATTTAAAAATTAGTGACGTTACTAATGATAATTCTAGCATTAAAGCTCAATAAAAAAAATCACCTCTTTAAAGATGTTATTTGAAATTTTAAACAAAATTAGTATTACCAGAAATACTGAATTTGTTTGCTTATTTTAGTTATTAATAACAATAGCGTAATTCGAACTTTTTCACATTTTGTCTCCAGAAGTTCCATGATCTTGTCCTTGACAATTTGGATTTTTCGTTGGTATGAAAGAAATATCCCTCCCTTTTCTGTCAGATTTAGGGTTGCTATACCTTGCTGTCATTTTGAAAGAGCTTTAACGTTTGACCATTTGTCACAGAACATCGTATTGGTACTTAACTTTACGCAAAAACAGCAACTGTCAAAATTGTATAGTCATCTTTAGAGTCGAGTGATTTATTTGTTAACTATATTAAAGTGCGTTCACACGTTTAAAGCCAGTTTGATGCAGATGTATCTGAAAAGCACTATACATCCACTACCTTATAAACGTAACAAATTTTTTCTGCCAGATTTTTACCAATTATAAAAATAAATAAAACATTCTGCTAACTAATAAACTACTATGTTTTAATTTGCGTACTCTCTGCTGTAAACAATGGTCAACTTCAGCTACACAACCTCGCCCAAACTGCAAACATCAATCCAACTGCCCAACCCCAATTTGCTGTTAGTCATTTTCCTTACAATAACCATCGGATAATAAAATAGTAGAAATCGCGAACGTTACGTTAATTGGATAATTGACAGAAATTTATTTGTTACCACCGTAACATAACTAACGTTTTTGTATCACTGTTAAACTATCGATTAAAGAAAAGAAAATCATGTTAACTTACAATTTGTCTTACAGAACTGTTTTGTTCCTAT